TTTTTTTTTTTTTTTTTTCACATTTTGCCTGTGTGAATCATCTGTTAGAGTTCAGCCATGATAAATGGTCTTCGTGCTGGGTGGGGATAGAAAGCTTGTGAGACTTAATCTTAAGGATGGCTAGGCAGGGAAAAAGAAACTTTAGGAACTGATACCATTTACCTGTCCCCCACAACATAAACTTTACACAAATCACTGGTGAAACATTGCTGTTGCCCCACATTAGGGCATGCTCTCATCAACACTATTGCTTTGTGGGGGATCTTGGTTTTGGTGATGATTTTTTTTTTTCATTCTTCTTTTGCAATTAAGTGATATTTGAAGCAAATTTTTTGCAAAGTTTTTTTTTTTAAAGATGCTAAAAACATGGATGAGTTTGGAACAACACATTTTACTTTTCAAGCAAAGCATTTGGACTGACATCAAATGAGAAATTGCAAAAGGGTTGTGGGGAATTGAATAGCATTTTGCTTTATGACTTGAAACCAGAGGAGTTTTAAAAATATCTTGGCCACACAAAATGGATAGTCTGACTTGCAGCCTATTCCTACTTGCATGGATAAGTTCTAGTCATCGCTTGGGTAAGCAGGTGGTCAGACTAGCTGAGTGATATGTTGGCAATCCCTCTACTCCTAGATAAACCAGATAGTAAAACTGTACTTGAAAGGACTATCAGCTCTATGTTGGTTTTGACATTGTTTTAGTCAGGGGGAAAAATCAGAGATGCCCTATACTAACTAGTCCAATGATTATGGTTCCAACTTGGGACAGAGGGGAGTTTGAGTGGAGTTCACACTCTGAAGCCAGATCTTACACAGTACAGACAAATGTTTGTAAACCCAAACTATTGGGGGAGGGAAAAGGGGGTGTTATTTTTTGAAAGACCCTATTTTTGTATTCTGAAAGAAGTGGAAAAAAGACACACCCCTTAAATTCCACAACCTGGAAGCTATTCACAAACCAACTACTATCCTTCTCTGTCCTTTTGTTCTGGATATTGTTATATGCCAGTATTAGTAATAAGCTTTTGAGGAATGGGGGCATTGTCACTATTGCTGGGTTTTCTTGTTTGTTTGCTTTTTAAAATAATATTGACAAGTTCTTTATCTGCAATCTTTGAGCAGCCTACATGACAGAATCCTACCACATTGGTAGTTTTGTTACTAGAAAGACATGTATTTTTTCAAAGAGAATTTACCTCCCCCATTATCCCTATCTTCCTTGTTAGAAGGGCTACTCTGATCAATCATCTCATAAGTCTCTTAATACAGTTGGTCTGAGAACAGATTGCTTTGTAGTTCTAACACTTGTTTCTTGACTACCATTATCCTCAAGAGTTACCATGCTTTTTTTCTCCTCTACTTGCTAGTCAGCAGTACCTTGTAGAAGTCCTCAGGAAAAAAAAAGCTATCTGGGAGCAATATCACAATACCTTTAAGTCATCTTTTTATAGAGGAAGTTATACTTAGCATTTCAAAGCAGTAAAGAAGCATTTTTCTTCTTTTCTCATATTTTCATTATATTCTTATAATTCATTAATTACACTTAATAACATTTACACCTGAATAAAAGCAATGTTTTGTGATATGAGTCACACACATAGAAGTGAAGTTCTAGTCTTAGAAGAAAATAGAAGCTTATAAAAAATATCAAAAGACCTCATGCTAGAATACGAGCAATTGCAGTATGCTTGGAAGTTCTATAACCCACTAATAACTTACCTTTTTAGAGAGCTTCCCCCTTTCAGCATATCATAATCTACATTTCAGACTAATACACCTCTAGAGTAGTAGAGCACTCTCCCTTCCCCCTTGTCTTTAACTCTTCAGCAATGGTTAGCTCAATAACTATTGTTTCAAAGCATTAATTCAGAGAAACTGGTATCACCTGGCCTTAATCAGCTCCAAAAAAGAACAAGGAGGTTATGGAGAGGAGAGAAAAGACTTCAAAGATTATGCAAATATTACCTATCTCATTCTAAGTTCTATGCCAGCTCTTGATTCTTTGTCTTCTTTGATCCTGCAAACAGATACAGAGGTGCTGAATCTTACTACTCTGAACAATTTCATTGATTTCAGTAGGACAACTGGAAGCAACAAATTTAAGAGCAACAGGTGTTTGCATGACCAAGGCTCACATGGGTAAAGGGCTAGATCTGCCAAGGGGCCTATGCTCTTTAGAATGGGCTCCAGAACCCTGTGCTAGGTGCATCTGCTCCCTATACATAGCGTGGGAAGAAACAGGCACTTTTGAGCGGTATCCAGAGCAGCCAGTTTGTTCAATAGGAAACTGCCTAAAGCCAGCACATTCAGCTTATCAGCAGGACTAGCCAGCTGAAAATGATGACAACCAGGTAATCCCAGCACCATTGTGCATCACAATATAAATACTCAAGATATGTTTCTGGAGACACAAGCCTTTTTCCTGGAGTTATCTATATACATTTATTAATGTTTGGATTCTTCTGATTTTCCCCTCTTTGGTCATCCCTTTCCCCTTTGTTCCTTTTTAAAAATAAGAATAACAAAAACATACCCTTTACTTCTCTAGCATGTCTGCTCATGCACCTTTCCCTAGTCTGTTACTTGTCCTTTCAATATCACTGTACATGATAACAAATAATCAATATAAACAATATCAGTGCTCTATAAAACATGTAATCCCAAAAATAGACCTACATATATTCATGTATGTGCATGTATATATGTATGTGCATACATACACACACACACATACATTCATATAGTATTTAAATATAGGCATTCTGAAGTATAGTTACAGTGTGGTTATAAATAATTAGGAGTTTGTGTACAGTACCTAATAGTTATTTAATACATGTCAAAACAATACAAAATTTATGAGGAAATGCTGAGGACAGTGGTGTGACTGAAATTGTATTCCTTTCCTCTGACTGCCTGCTTTCTCTAGCTTAATGACTCTTTAATTCTGTTCTAAATGGTGGAACAGCTTCAGCAGGAGGGATGCAGAGTGACTTTTCCCAGAATAACCTCTGCACTGACAGTTAGTGCATGCTCCCTGAAGGAGAGGAGAAACTGCACCTGGGTCTCCCTCCCCAAGCAAGTGCTTTAATCACTAGGTCAGTGATCGGTAACATTTAACAAGTGACAGGCAAAACCAGTCCAGCTCAGGTCCCAGGAAAGCTGGCACTTTCAGCCAGGCTATTGTTGTCACTGCAACTCTTCCCACCACTTTTCCTTGCTGCCTGGCTCTGGTACAAAGCCCTTTGCCACTGAACAGTACTGAAGGCCCTTGCTGCCAAAATGCCTCAGAAGATCCCTATTCTCTGGGCCTGATAAAATGGCTGTGCTGGATCCAGCCACTGCCCTAGGTTATTAATTAACAGATGGGCACTACCACTTTCTCTGGCCATGTTTTAGAAGAAATTAGTGACCATGAGTACGTTGATCCATAAGGGCCCTGCTCCTGCCGGTGTGTGTGAATAATACTGGATTGAGCCCATCAGCAGTGTTAGGTGGAGGAAAAGTAATTCGTGGATCTACTTCAGGCATCATGTTGTCCAGCTGTGACAAAAATGAAGCAGTTGTTGTTTTGGGTATGCACAGTGATACAGCTCCAGGTGCTTAAGAGCCTTTGTATCAAAAAGTGAGGGGCCCCTCAGCAGTTAGTCACCTCTTGGGTTTGGTGACAGCTGAGTGACGGTCTCCAGGAACCCATTGAGCTTATGTGCAGAAACTCTATGTTAGTCCCATTTTATATACCTACATTCTGTTTTTGGATACCCCAAAGCTATTAACATGTGTAAGTGATTGTAAGCATTGCTGCTTTAGGTGTTTATTCCAATTTGTTGTACTTGAACCATCAATTAAATCTTAAGTACCCAGGCAGAACTGCAGTTTTAATATCTGATTCATCATCTGTGGCTGAAATGCCATTCAAACCAATAGATCACAGATTTTGATGGAATGAGAAATCTTTTTGAATCCCAGAAAGCAAACATAAAAGGGGAGGGATGCTCACAAACAAATACATTTCTTTAAAATATCAGTGAATCTTTATAAATAAGTTGAAGGCATTTGCTCAGCTGCAGTAGAACTGGATTTACTGATATAAGTTCATTTTTCCCTTAATTTTGAAGCCAATATATACAGAATTAAAGTTTTTTTCACAGTCAAACAACATTTAGTAACTATGTAATATTTTTCACCTTTGAAGTTAAAATATTATATAATTATTAGCTAGTTAACCCTCACAGAACCATAATAAAGCAAGCAGGAATGAATTAATTAATTAATTCATTCATTCATCCATCCATTTTATGGATGGTGACACTTTGGTCAGAGTGGTTAAGTGCTTTGTTTTAAATCACAGTGAATTATCAGTACAGAGCCTGGAATGCCTGGTCCTAATTTTCTACCTTGTGAAGACACTTTATCTTTCAGGTGTTTATAATTTGTTTCTGTTTCCCTCTCCCTCCCAATCAAGTACATTACCTTTTGTGGTGTGAAGAGTCCATAAGTAATCCTGTGATCACCTGATCTGGAGTAAAGGCAGCTAAGAAGGATAAAAAGGAGTCAGCTGTCTTCTAGAAGCATTTACCTGGACATAGGTATTGACAAGTGTGGGACAGAACAAAGCAGGTTTACTGAAGGTAATGGGAGACTAGTTTAAAGTTTTAGCTATCTCACAAGTAAAGTTGAGGGTATTGGCTTTTAGAGAAGACATTAATGATTTTTAAGCAGTGCTATGGTACTTGCCTCTAATAGATCTGGCATCATTGGCTGATACTATTTTAATGCTAAGCTCCTTTGACTGTGAATAAACCAGATTTGTTTTGTTTGTTTCCTTCTACCTTCTCTCAATAAATGTAGTCTTCCTAAGTTGCTGTTTATTCTATTCTGGGCTGATTCTGTTTTTCATGTTGTGTTCTGATTCCAATGCCTTACAGTAAGCCTTTCATAATTCTATAATAATCTAATAACTTGCAATTTGATTGTATCCTGCAAACCCTTGTGAGGAAAGGGATATAGAAATTGTCACATCTTGCAGTAGGTTGCAAAAAGTAGTATCTATGAAAAACCTCTCCATATGGTTAAAATAGTATATTTCATAACATAAAACCTTACGTTCCCTTTAGTCTCCCTAGTTAAACTAACTTCTTTGGAGTACTTAATGAATAGGTACACATACAAGGTATTGTGAAGTAAACTAAAGGGGGAACTTGCAGCATAAGACTTCCTAAAAGATGAGGATTCTTTGCACTTGCAACTAGATGATAAAGCCCAACCTACTTGGTTTTTCTCTAGACCAGTAGTTTCCAACATTTTTTTTCTACTGCTAGGAGCAGTGTGGCAGGAACAGAGCTCCATGTGTGGGGTATGGCTTGTCTCTTATATATGGTGCTGCTGGCATTACCCCCCCTGGTGACCCTCATTTGGGTCACAACCTGAAGTTGGGAGTTGCTGCTCTAAACCATTATAGCCCCTGCTCTTGTGCTTCAATCTGGTCTTTTTGAGGTAATAGCTTAAGTCTGAAAATGATGGTCCTGTACAGAGAGAATTCCCTACCTCTCTTTAAAGACTTCCCAGGCATCAGAACAAAAAAACCTGTTTGCCTCTCTAGGAGGCAATATCTGAACCAACAGGAAGGTCTGTTACTATAATACCAGAGCTACCTTCTAACAAGTAGTCAAACAAGTGTACTAACTTCACAAGGCAAATAACTTTCTAAAGAAAAGAAGAAATATTTTAAACCTAACAAACACTTCCTACTTAGCTGGCTTGCTTTAAACCATTCTTTCCGTCTCTTGAAATAAGTTAATCTTGGTTATTAGAAGGTATTGTAGAGGAAGGATGTTGTTAACCTTCCTACCATGTTGGTTTTTACTGTGACTTGGTTGTACCTCGATCACTTGGCTTTTTACAGTGACTTGTTGTACTCTCTCTGCTTTCTTGGCTGCTTTATTAGAATGTCTGGACGTGGAAAGAAAAATGCCAAACCCCCATCAGTATCAAAGAAAAGCAAGTCGGCAAAAGCTGGACTGCAGTTCCCAGTTGGCCGTGTCCTGAGGCTCCTCAGAAGAGGGCACTATGCTGAGAGAATTGGTGCTGGAGCTCCAGTGTACCTGGCTGCGGTGCTGGAATATCTGAGTGCAGAGATATTGGAACTGGCAGGAAATGCTGCACGTGAAAACAAGAAAGGCAGGATAGGGCCACGACACATCCAGTTGGCAGTGAGGAATGATGAAGAGCTGAACAAGCTGTTTGCAGGTGTGACCATTGCTGAAGGTGGGGTCAAGCCCAACATCCTTTCCCAGCTTCTCCCCAAGAAAACACACACAGCTGTTCCTACAGGGGAAGAATCCAGTCCTTGACTGATTTTTTTTCCTTTCCTCTCGTCTCGTCTCTTTCTAGTTTGAATTTTGCACTTAAGGACAATGAGAGTCTCTCTAGATACTATTTATGTACGAGATGTTGATTTATGATGAATATTACTCAGACCCACTATTTTAATGTTTGTGTCTTTTGTAATACTTGTAATAAACTTCCTGAAATTAAACAACTTACTCTAATCTATGTTCTGTGGATATTGTTTGTCTGTCTTCCCCCTCCTCAAGATAAAGGAATGATGATTTGATTTACTTATTTTTCCAGGAAAATGTTTATCTTGCCACTTTTTAAAACAACATAAATGTGGCATGCTTGCTTTCCAAACCCTGGGAGTAGAGCCAATTTTACATCCTATCCAGTTCTGGACTGTTGGGTCTAGTTCAGTTCCTATAACTGAAAGCTCCTGCTACCGCTACCATCACCACTGCCAACAAAAAGTTCACCCCAGCTAAAAATGCTGGTCCCCTATGGGGCCAGGAAGAGGTTATACAATTGCTTGACCAGTCTTAGCTAGACTGTAGCAGAGATGTTTGTTATACTAAAAACAATAACGTTGTCATGGTGGCTAAAGGAGTGCTTTTTTTTGTTTTGGTGCAGATTATTCTTTTTGGGGACTTGATAAACTGTGCTGGCATAAGCTGCTTCGCTATGGAGTAGTTTGCTCATGTAACTAAGCCAGGCAACATGGGATGCTTTAATGCTTCTTGCTCATGTGCTTGACTTGCATTAGCTTCATGCTGACGGGACTGAAAAATAGAAATGTCCCCACTACTGCCTCTAGAGGATGTTAAGTTTGTGGAGAATCAGTCACACTCACTCTAACAGACATGCAGACTCAGCAGCATAGGGACACAACTGGGCACCTGCAGTACAGGGACAGCACTGGCTTCCAGTTGTTGCAATTGAGACTGTAATCATACAGCTGCCTCTTTCTCCCATCCGAGATGGTTCCTGTAATGGTTGCCCCCTTTGCCCTGCCCTTGTTACCCTACTCTACAGGCTGATCTCTGACAACTTCCACACTTAAAAACAATCAACAGAGCAGGGGTTGGCAATCCACTAGGAATAATAGACTGAATTAATGCACCTCGACCCTAGTGTGGTTTGCCACCTGTGAATCAGCTGCCATCACTATCCAGTCTTTGTGAGCCAGGGGAGGGGGGTGGAATATCTTCACAGGCCAGACTCAGTTCACGGGCTATTGGTTGCTACTCTCTGTGATTTAACATATAGTTTTCCTCTTTCTTCATAGTTATTTTGGGCATGGGAAGAGTTAAGGGTTGCTTTATGTTAATAAGGCTATTTAATAAAAACTCTTTATATTTAGTTAACTAATAGTTTACCTGTAAAGGCAGCAACATTAAACAGCTTCATGGTAGTAGCAATGTAGGAAGCCTGAATATGACTCTTCTATTTAGCTTTGCTTACACACATGCATGAGTTCCCAAGTATTACGCAGTGAAAATGGTCTGTTGCTATTGCCCTTACACACCTGGGCAAGATCCAATATGACATGTGCCATGAGAATATCTAATTCTAAAATAAAAGTCATGAAATATATGCCTTGTATATCTACATCTGTGTGCAAATTAATTAGACTATATAACTTTCAAAGTCCCTCTCAGTCCTCTGATTCTATACACCTGACAGCTTTGAGGATATTTAAGGGAAGAGTTCTCTTAAATTCAGACCTCTAAACGGTTCAGGTGGTCTGTGTTGTCAGAAATGTATAGCAGACTGCACAGAAGAACATGGGCAAGGTCATTACTTTGACTTTCCACTAGATGAGGAAGGTGCGACAGCAGTTACCACCAGCCATTAAGATGTTTTAAAAAGTATTTAGTCTGCTTTTGTGGAAAAGTTGTGTAAACCCTGGGTTAAGTAAAATAGATATATGCGCTTAAATTTGAAGCCAGCGTATACATTTTAGATGCTTTTGAAATAATTTGTAATATTTTAGCTCTTTCCACCTGGTGGGCTCAACACATTCTGTACAATATGAGTCAACTGGAGCTCATAACACAACTTTGAGATGGTTTCATATTTTTATGTGCATTTTACAGATGGGGAAAATGAGTCACAGCAGTAAAATAACTTGTCAACAATATGAGAGAGAGATCCTTAATCTCTGAGGTGGTTATATCATGCTTCTGTCATTTATTTTTTGGTGCTGTGACTGAATTATCAATAATCCAAGCAATATTAAATGACCTGGAGTAAGAGTTGCTAATAAGCTGGCTACTACTCTGAGTGTTAAAAGGAGACAGCTGCCCCCTACAGAAAGAGCAATCTGTTAGTTTTAGATAGTAGTGTTCCTGGGAGGAGGACTGAGAAAAAGGCTTGGGTAAGGTAAAAGTTAGTTTGCTTCTCTGTAGGGAAAAAAAATATATTTCGTCAAAAAAATTAATCTTCTTTTCTGCAGTGGCTCATGTGGCATAATTTAAGTAGTAACTAAGCCATTACATTTGTTATAAATGGTACCAAGCTGGTTTTAAGTAAGTCATTTTTCTAGAGTTTGTCGTCTCCATAGCCATAAGAAAGAAATAAGGTCTTCATTCTACTTCTGAATCCCTTCTGTAAGACTGCTTTGTTCTGTACCTGTACCCTGCTTCCCTCATTGCCAACTCTAAACAGAACTTCATTTTCAGTTTTATTTTTCTAATAATTAGCCTTTGTCTCTGAAACTGTTAACAACAAAGTTTCCTGGTCCCCAGTTAGCCAACACCAATGCATAACATTGGACTGTAACAGTTATTCTTGACTTTCCAAGAATCAATGATGGCATACTTTGTCAGAAAGCAGGGTAGACTTGCAACTGGTATGCTAAACCTTTAAGCTTTTATGAAACCGAGCTCACTTCACCAGTTATTGTGAAAGACTTGCAGAGAGCAGTGTATCAAATACAGGAGTGTTTTGAATACAAAAGACAATGGAGGAAGAGTAGAGGAATCATATGAGTAATAAACCCATAGAGACAAAGGGGTCACAAAAGCCAATTCAGGTAATGGGATAAGGGTCTATAGTCCCTGTTTAGCCTATATTTAACATAATCTGGTCTGTGGAGGATTTCTTGTTCCACAATTTCATGTTTAAGTTCTTCTTTAAGCTTTTCTTGTCTAAAAACAGCTACTCTGAGGTCAGTGATGGAGTATCCAGGAAGGTTACAATGTTTTGCCACAGGCTTGCGTGTCTTTCTGGAACTTATGTTAATTCATTCCTACATATGGAAATCACCCAATCTGTCCTGTATAGACAGCAGATACATAACGTCAGCAATGAAGTAACTACAGCCTGTGGAGATGCGCCTTATTTGTTATACCGTACAACCTTATTATAACTTAACCCTCAAGGAACCATGCAAAATTTAATTTGTATAAAGGGGGTATCTTCCATAATAAGGTTAATCAATTTGCTGCATCATAATGAAACAGTTGGTTCCTGCTGTTGCAGATTGTTTAAAAATAGGTGGTTGCTATAAAAAGGCTGTCTTGCTAGCTGTGTAGCCACACAGGTAGCTAACTGTGCTGAGCTCTCTTTTGTACTTTTCCCAGCTTCTTGAGTAGGTTTTTGTAGCCCTGGTACTTCTTTTTCCCCCTAGCCCCCTCCTCCTAGCTACATCTATTCCTCCGTGACTTGTGTTGGGGTCTGTTGCATTACTGCAACAGTCCTTTTACAATAAAATTTAAACTTGCTCAAGTGGCTTTCACACTGCACTAATTCTGTGTTCCTGTTGCTCTTAGCTAAGAATTGCTAACCAGTTTTCTCTTGGTTTGTTGGTTTTGGGTTTATAGCTTGTACTGAGGGAAGCTGCTTAGTGTCCTGCCTGGAACAGTCCCTGTTGTTCTCCTTCATGATATTTAAGGCAACACTCTTCCAAGCCGCCTCAACTGTCCAGGTATTCCAAGTGCATGAGGCCATGGCGCTGGCTTTGTCTTGCCTTTCTTGACCAAGCCTTTCCTTTTAGGGTCTTGCTCATTCTGAAGCAGATCCATTGCTTGATAATGTTATCCCCAGGCAAAGCTTTACTTTAACCAAAAGTTTCAGAGGCTTGTTAGGTGGCAGACTTGCATTCTCTCTTTGCTGCACAGGAAAGTCATCAAGAGTCTCTAGTATGTTTTAAATGATAGGTTGGGGTTAGGTCTTGAGAAGATTTCTAAGCAACTACCTGACTCTGGATATCTTCCTTCAGAAGAAGGATCTAAGCAATTAAGCTAGTAAACTATTACGACCTCCTTTTAAAGATCAGGATTTTCATCTTAAAAAGAAGAACTAACAGTACTGTACTAGAATGTGAGGGAAAAGTAAAACTGCATATCTAATCTTGTCACCTACTTCTCCTTCTCTATAGCTTAAATATGAGGATACTGTAATGGTGCCCTTATCAATGGTCTTTACTGCTCTCTTTCTCCTCTTCTGGACTAGATTGATACCAGAATGTCTGGACGTGAAAAGAAAAATGTGAAACCCTCATCTGTGTCAAAGAAAACCAAGTCTGCAAAAGCTGGGCTGCAGTTCCCAGTTGGCCGTGTGCATAGGCTCCTCAGAAGAGGGCACTATGCTGAGAGAATTGGTGCTGGAGCTCCAGTGTACCTGGCTGCGGTGCTGGAATATCTGAGTGCTGAGATACTGGAACTGGCAGGAAATGCTGCACGTGAAAACAAGAGAAGCAGGATAGGGCCACGACACATCCAGCTGGCAGTAAGGAACGATGAAGAGCTGAATAGTCTCTTTGCAGGTGTGACCATTGCTGAAGGAGGGGTCATGCCCAATATCCTCTCCCAGCTTCTTCCCAAGAAAACAAAATCTTCTGGTCCAGGACAGAAAGATGGCCAGTCACAGGAATTCTAGTAGCTGTTAAAAGTTTGCTACCTCTGGGACAGGTTTCCTCCATAACTGTTAATTTATCATGCCTACAAATGCTTGGTTTTGTTTTTGTTTTGTTTTTTTTCTTTAATTTTAATTTCATGTTCTTTAACTGCTTCTAAGTATGCTTCTTTTA